AAGCCATTATTCACATGATGATATAATTGCCAGAAAACTGCTAACCTTAATAATAAGATCCCAATAATTGAAATAGTAGCAACAACTGATTCACTTGCAACCATTGTGGGCAGGCTAAACATTATGCAAAAATTGTTTCAATCCTTTAATCAGAACAATGTGGTCATAGTAGCCAATTTAACCCTACTTGGTTAAAATAATAGGGTCTTTAACAATCCCACCCAACAATAATAACAGTACACTACCTCAAACTAGAGGCAATGATACCCAGATATTTTCAAACCTTTATGAGGAGATTTTAGATCTTTTGTTTTTACCTACTAAAGAATCCAATAAGCCCACCCAGCATACCTGCAGTAAATAACATCATGTTGATGAAGTGGTCCCCAACCCACAAAAAACAGACCCAGAAACCTCAATACTCATATTAATAATTCCTCAGGGACCTAAAAAGAATCGAAAGCAATTCCCACTTGGAGAAAAAAGGTTGAAAATGACCCACCACAGATTTCAGCCTTAGTTCTCCTATATTCAATTGTGGCTAATATTAGAGACAAGCTGGCTAATATAATTGTAGAACAGTTGTTAAAAGCAGCCCTGTCCATGTGAACAGAGCTATAAAAGAGCCTGCACAAAAATAAAGCCCACCTAAGAAGGCTTGGACTTTTGTGAACCTCAACCCCACCCCCAAGTCAACAGCCATGTATTGCGATACCACTATCTATAAAAAAACTATTCCTTTTATAATTGATAGTAGTTTCTCTAGAAGTGTGATTATCTCTGACTTACTTAGTGAATTAGGAATCAAGGTAGAATGCCTCTCAACTGTTAATATGGTAAATGTGCATGGCCAAAATAAGTGGGCTATTAGAGAGTTTTTAAATTTTTTATTTACTGTTGGGAGAAATTAGTCACAGTCGACATAGTTGTAATATATGCTACATCTTACAAGGCTATTGTTGAAAATGATTAGATTTTTTTGTCAATACCAAAATCAACTACACTACTTCTGAAATGATTTTTCATTGGAAAAACAAAGAAATTACTATCTCTGTAGAATTTAGAAAGCTTCAACACATCCCTATTCAGAACAATCATCCTCCTAAAGTTACCCAACCTACCATTGAAGTCAACAACAGATCCAAAAGCTCTGCATCTGAGGAAGATACTAAAAGTGTATATAAAGAAGAAGAACTAGATGATAAACTTTTTGGCTATTCAGAAGAAAAAGAGCAGCCATATCACTCTCATTATAGAAATAAGATATTATTGAGCTATCTTGATTCTGATAATAAATTGATAGCCTCATAGTATAATAAATGATCCAAAGCTTGGAGTTACATGAAGCTTGGTAGAGTATATATAGCAACAATGATTATAAACAAGATGAGGATAAAGATTTTTTTGATGCCAACAATTATCTTTTTGACCCAAAGAAGACTTCACCAATTCTGATAATGATAAAGTGATAAGTAAAGAATTTTATCTTGATAATGTGAAAAAGCTTTTCTAAAAGCTGAATATAGAAGTACTTAATAATGACAACTATGATGAACTTGAAGACTTGTTGACAAACAACAGTGATCTCTTTGCTTAAATATCCCAGAACCTGGGTTAGACCAATCTTGTCACTCATACTATCCAAACTAATGACATACTCCCTATTCCTTAATGATACTATCACACTTCTTCTAAAGAAAAAGACTTCCTTTGTGAAAAAATTAGTCAAATATTAAACAATAAAATTATTCACTCTTTTAGGAGCCCATGAGCTTCACTCTTCATTCTTGTTAAGTAGAAAGACAAGGTCTATATTTGTATTGACTACCAAAATCTTAATTCTGTAACAAAAAAAGACAGTTATCTCTTTTCTCAAATCAACGATCTCTTAGATACCCTTCAGTTTTCTTCTTGGTACACCTCACTTGATTTGGCTAGTGATTATTGGCAGATCGATGTGGACCCTAATAACAAAAAAAAACTAGCTTTATTTCATAATTCAGAACCTTCAAGTTTAATATGATACCTTTTGGCTTTACAAACACTCTCCAACCTTCTAACAACTTATGAATTAGATTTTTGAAAATATAATCAGTCAATTCATTATTGTCTATCTAAATAACCTGAATATTTTTTTTCATTCATTTGATGAACATCTTGCCCATCTCACTAAAGTCTTCAACTGCCTCTAAAAGGCCAGATTAAGACTCAACCCCAAGAAATATCATTTAGCAAAAAGAAAACTTAAGTTCTTGAGATATATTGTCAATACCAACAGAATCTTTATAGACTCTGTAAGATGAAAGCTGCTGAGAACTTTCTCACCCCTACCAACCTTCTACAACTTCACGAGTTTCTAGAGTTGGTCTCCTATTATTACTAGTTCATTCAAAATTTATCCAGTTTTGCTGCTCTCTTAACTTACTGTTAAAAAAAGACACTAATTACTCTTGGACCAGTGCCTAAGAGGCTGCCTTCATTGTTCTTAAAGAAAGGCTCACCACTGCTCCTGTGTTAGCTTATCCTGATTTTGATAAACTCTTTTTTCTTTTTACCAATGTTTCTGGAATGGCTC